ACACACACACACACACACACGCACGCGCACGCGCACGCACACACACACATACACACACACACACACACACACACACACATAACGGCGGCAACCGGCGTAATTTGCGCGGGAAACTGTCGAGCGGCTTAGATGACGGCAACAGGTGATATGATACCCGGCCGAACCGCGTGTCGAACTCGGCACACTCATGAAAGCATTGCAGAGAACGCAATAAGAAATTGGTAAAACCGACGACAGCGAAAAAACCGACCGAAACGCGACCGAAGAACCGGCGTGACTACAATGGTGGACCGTGCAGTCTGCAAGTAATGCCGTACACGTGGCAGCCGTGTGTCGATCCAAATCACAGAATAGTGAAGGAACAAGCGATATCTTCTTTTCGTATCTTTGATTTAAGCAAATGAGATTTCTAGTATGTTCCTTATCTCGGTTCTACCGGTTCTCGGAATATCACTACGCATTATTGGATATCGCTCCTCTCAGTAATGGAATTTCAAGAGTATTGCTGTTGATCTCACGTAGTACAGCTTCTGGAGTCCCACGGAATGTGGCAAAAGAAGTTGGAGATGAGAGCAAACTTATTTTCACATTCCTCTTTTTTCACTTTTCACTTTAGTTTATTTTTAAAGGCTTGAGATCGTCTCCGATGTCTCGTCCGATCCGTATCGTTTCAGTGTTTCACAACCAAGAGCGGAATCCAGATCCTTCCCTTAGAACTCCGGTTCCTACTCTCCCCACTCCTCCCTCGGGAAGTTCGGCAAGGCGCATTTCTAAGAGTTCCTGTACAGTCGTGGTCATTTAGGTTGCGACACTTTTTTTCTTGATGGATTTCGGAACGCCCAAATATTGACATGAATGTGAATCACTGCATCTAGTGAGCTAGAGTGAGGGTTAGAATATCTGTCATAAAAATTTATACAAGGTGGAAATATACATTTTGGAAAAACTGTGAATAAGTATCAAATATGTAATGCAATGTCTTAATAAAAGATAATGGTTTTATTGTATAATTTATA